CTTTTTTTGAAATTCAAACATTAGTATGTCAGATAAAAGCCCTTTCAAATACACAGGTGTAGCTCAAAATGTGATATCCAGTGGACTAATAGGTTTACATTAGACAGCTGGCTACATTAGGAAATGTATATTCCTCTAACTTTCCTATTGTAAGATTGTTGCTTTTGTCTGAATATGTTGACTACAGTGTGCATTTAGTAGATCTCTGTAAATCTCTTAATTGAGTAACAAGTATAACTTCTAATAAATTACTGTTCCCAGGGGAACCTGTAGGTTTTAAATAGGTATATCTTTCAAAAAATATGAATCACTATTTTTGGAATATACCTATATATTAAACTGAACATTTTAAAAATACTTCTTATAAAAGTCTTTCACAGCATTAATGAAGTACACCAGTAAATCGGTAATCTGATTTTCTTTAGAAATAACATATAATTATTTTTGTTTAATTAAATGTCTATAATATTACCAAAAGGAATAATAATACTCTAGTCCCTTTAACCAGTTTTAATCAATTGAGATTATCTTTTATTTAAATCAAAGGCATCTTGTAGCTCTTCTGTGGGTATTGGATCAAAACTTCATTATGCAGTATATGAACGTGAGAAAAGGTACTTAAATCCTGTAGAGCACCATCCATCTGATCAGTATTAAAAGGCTTAGTTCAGTCACATGAAAGCATGCACTGCAAATGCTACACCACGGTTGTCTTACCACCAAATGGTAATTAGACCTTTCCTCTTGCACAGGAGCACAAACTGATTTGCTTTGTTTGTTTGTGGCTTTACAATTTTCACTAGTTCACATAATAGTTAGGATTAGGAATTTATTAAGGGATAAAGACTGCTTTGCATCTCAATATTGCTTTCAGTCAGCAATGGCACAACCATTTCTGAACATATTATATCTACAAGCATGGCTTTTCTTGTTCCAAATCTGATTTCCCTCCTCCATACTACAGGTTCTTGTTTCCAAAATTAATGACATGTTCTTTTATGTCCTGATGGGCTGCAGAGTCTCAAGATAAAACAATTTGTAATGTGATACGCTCTTGTAACTAGGTTATTTTTAAATTATCTTTTTTATATTAAGGCCACCAAGTCAACCTAGTTCAGGTTTTGCTGTAAACATGGTCTAGAAGGTGATCTGATTCTTTACATATACCATTTAAAAAAATCCCCCATTTCTCAGTAAAATTTATTTCCAAAATCTAGAACATTTTGACACACAAAAATTACTAAAGACTATTAGTTTTTCAGTAAGATATGCTTTAATCACAAGATGCAATGTGGTAGAATCAAACTTGGTTAGTAACACAAAGGAAATAATGAATTGGGAAACAGTTAAAATACAGGTAAGTTTATGGTAGTTGTTTTTTTTTTGGGGGGGGGGGGGGGGGAAAAA